TTGTATGACTGCTTAAGGGTTGAATCTAGAAGTGTGACATTTCAACATTTTTATTTCCACCATATGAATCACATCTGACAAGATGAACTGTACGATCCCAAAGGATCATTTCTAGCTTAAGAAATGATCTCCTTTAATAGGAAAACAGCTTCCAGGCTTTTCTCATTGACTCACTAACATGCCTTTTCGAGTGTCGAGCAACCAGAGTGTATCACCTTCCACAAAATCTACTGTTTGAGTGCCATGCTAGTTATTGTTACTGTCTGTTTTGTTGTGTATAATTGCATCACTTTATGGAGCTGTACATCTTCCTTTTCTATGGTTCCACCACTCGCCAAGCTGGGGAATAATAGGGAAGGTAATTGGATAGTAAAACTGAGTGGATCTCCTGTTGTGATAATTGCAATCATCCTTGCCTTTATCTCTTTATTTTTTTTTCTTTCTCCTCCCCCCCCCCCTCTTCATAGAAACTGAAGAGTTTGGACCTGTTTTTATCCAGGAGCCAGATGATGTTATTTTTCCTTTGGATTCTGATGAAAAGAAAGTGGTGATGCACTGCGAGGCACGGGGGAATCCACCACCCACGTACAGGTGCGCGACGTATATTTGTCTGTCTCCTAATTGCAGTTCAGCTTTCGCAGCTCATTAGTTTGTCACTCATCAGAAATATATTAAAATCCGCTGTTCTTCTTGTGTTTTTCAGTTGGTACATCAATGGGACGGAAGTGGATTCAGAGGCAGATTACCGCTACAGCTTCATTGATGGGAACTTAATTATTACCAATGCAAGTGAAATCACTGACTTTGGGAAGTACCAGTGTAAAGCAGTAAACAGTTTTGGGACAGTCCTAAGTCGAGACGGTCTATTACAGTTTGCATGTGAGTAGTACTTTTTGTTTTTGGGATTTGTTCCGTGTGATGATCTAATAATCGACTGAAATCAAGTTGCAGGAGGATCTGTGTGTGTGTGTGTCACTGGTGGGAAAAAAGAAATTAAATGTGCGTTGTATTAGTCAGACTGAGGGTGTGAAAGATTTGCCTCTCATATGAAGCAAATAATTGGCTTCGAGCTCTTTGTCTCTCGGAGTCAAAATAAACCTGTTTGGTTCCAGGGGTAAATAAACACTACGCTGTCTCCGGTTAGGTTTTTGTTGCTGAATGCAGCTCCCACCGGCTCCGTCTGATACTCTTTAGTTGCACTGCTAACAGGGTATGTGCCCTCAAATGCTTTGTCTCAGTGGTAAATGAGAGCAAAAAAAAAAAAAAAAAAAAGCACATTTCTTCCCCCAGTAATCCCCTGGCCTACCTCCAAAACATCATCACAGGCTCAGGCAGCTCACATGGAAAGACCAGGGGCAGTATGCTCAGAGGAAAATGCATTGTTGGTGTACTCTGCAGTTTCCTCAGGAGCAATGACCATAATAGCCTTATTGGCATGTCTACAGGGAACTTTGCGTTCTCAGTCACTGGGCTTTTGCTAGAAAGAAAAGTACACGGTCTCATGTGCTGTTGTGGGGACTTACAGTTGTTACAGAATTACTTAGGAAACAAATGGTTAGATTAGACTAAAACTCTGAAGACGGGGGCGGGGGGAAAGGGATGGCTTCATCTTCTATTAAAGCGCTGTTTTTTTCTTAAGGCCAACCAAAGCAAAGGTTTTTCTTCACTTTGTTCTCCCTCACCAAGTTTCGTACATATATATATATATATATATATTTATAAATGTGATCAAAAAAAAAAGTGAACGAAAATCAAAGGAAGACCAATTTAAATACGAGCCAGACTGCACTGGCAGGCTGAAATGGCCAGATGGTAAAGCGCAGACACGGGCTTCAGAAAAAGTGCTGCTAGTTTGTGAGGAACACAGGCTGCACTTCAACATGTACCTTCATCTGTCCTCTCAACTGTCCAGATCCTCGCCTCCTCCTCCTCCTGCTCTCTCCACTTAAGGGTCACATACGTATATTTAAAAAAAAATGAGCTTGAGATGTTCTTTTTTTTCTTCCCCTCTGAGAAAATGAACTGGGCTGGAAGTGAGCTATGTAACATTTGGACGCTCATTTATTAGTCTGGGTCTCTTGGTTGGACATTAGAAGCTATTTTTCATAAATACTTGACTTGGCAATCTTACCAAATCTATTATGGCAATATGCAGAATTCCCTTTTGTGGTATTTTTTACCAGCATTGTGCTCTAAAGAATAAGTGTTTTGCAGTGCCACTTCTTAATTGCACATTTTTTTTCAACTCTTTTCCTGACTTTAGGTTCAAAACTAATTCCCATAAAAATAGCACAGCACTGGAAAGTTTTGCCATCTTTTTCAAGAACCTGCCTGCTTAGCAGCAACCAACACGAGCACCCGAGTATCACACTGTGCTGGTACCTGCTAGAAATTGGCTCCAAACATTGTTTCCAAACCCCCGGCTCTCCACTTCCACTCCACTACATTTCAGAGGGAGATACTGCACTTTCTCCTCCACTACATTTATTTGACAGCTTTAGTATGAGCATTGCACACAATAGATAATATAATAATCTTTTGAGATACAACACATTGCGAAAGATTAAACCATTTCTTTTCTCCAATCTTCCCTGCCTCTGACTTCTTACCAAAAAAAAAAGAACATTTCAAACAGCTCCAACAAACCCCCTCTAAGCTTCTTTGTGTGGTTTTATTTCTATAAATGTTCCAATGATCCAATATCTTACCAAAAAAGATTAGGGAAAACAACTGAAACTTTGTTTTTCCTTCTTAATCATCTGACGCCCTTTTGAGTTTTATCTGCTGTTTCTGTGTATAAAACTGCATCGACAGTCGAAGCTGCAACATGATGCTTCAGTTTTCATGTATAGTTTCAGTCAGATGGACCAAACCAGTGCTTGGTTGTCTGTCTCTAAGTGTGGCCCTGTGATGGACTGGCGACCTGTCCAGGTGTCTCCTGCCTTCGCCCTGAGTCAGCTGGGATAGACTCCAGCCCCCCTACTGAGGATGAAGCGGTGTATAGATAATGGATGGATGGATGGACCAAACCAGTACTTTTGCTTCAGTACTGTTACTTTACATTTCCCTTACGTAATTTTAGTAGGTTAAGTAGATTTCTCGGGCAGGAGAGCTGAGGAGGAATTGAGGGATTCCTTCATTACTGTGTCTAACTGTAAGGATCCTTCTGGCATGTTAGAGAAGCTTGGTGGTGAAATACGCAGTTTATTATAGCATCTGTTCTAATAGGAGCACATTTTATGTTGGTGCAAACAGCCTGTGTGTAAATATAAGCTAAGAAATAGCTCAGTGTTATGTATGGTAATTAGCCATGTGGAGCTATTGTTGTGCTAGCTACAGAAACAAAAATGTGTTAAATGAAGGCTTTAATAGCAACAACATGTATTCTATTATGTGCTTATGTCTCTCTGCTACACACAACTTTACTGAAAAACTCTAAAACAAAGTAGTCTGTAGACATCGCCGACCCCAGCTGAGTGGATGGTATGTTTGGGGTCATGTTTGGTTGACTGGCACTCGTGGCAGCTGAGATTTTGGTCACTCGTCCCACTCCAGCTTCAACCCGAGCAACCTTTGCACAAAATTGGATTTTCTAATTTTAATAAAAGACAGGTCAGTCGGTGTCCTGTTGTTGGAGGCGTGACGGGGAATAATGTGGGAAGATGCAGCTCCAGACAGACCGCGCAGAGTTCAAGGTGTTGTAGAAATTACCTATGATCGCCTATAAAGTGCTATCCTTATTATTCAGCTCTTTTTTTTTTCTCCCCCCCTTCCTGAATCACACCATTTACCTAGCAGTGCAGTACATTAGCGAAGGCTCCGTGGCCCCGAGGTTTTGGAGCCGCAGCTCTAAAATATCACTCACTGAATAAATGTCTGGCTTTCGCGGTTGTACTTGAGTCAGCAACAAATCCCACACCTCACCTGTCACAAATGTTGTGTAGTGCCATCTGAAGGGGGGGAGAAAAAAAACCCAGCCAGAAATGCCCATGTGGGAGTATTCCTCACACTGTGTGTTGTGACAGCAAACTGTATTACATATATACAGTTAAAGAAACACTGAATCAACTATTCAGGGGTGAAAACACACAGATACCTGCTTATTTCTGCGTGTTGTGGTGACATGATGAGGAATAATTTTCTCACTGACAACACAATAAAACAGCATAACAACGTCTCATTAACAGTTAACTAGCGGGATGTTTTTCTGAACACTAATTACCCAGTTGATTAACTGAACATTTAAATTCAGACTAGTTGACTACTACAAACACTGAGCGCAGTTTAATCAGTAAGGTTTAGCATTGTTAAAAATAAAATAATAAAAATAAAAATCTGTATGTATAAGAGCCATTTGGAATCCATCCATTCATCCATTATCTATACACCGCTTAATCCTCACTAGGGTCATGGGGGGCTGGAGTCTATCCCAGCTGACTCAGGGTGAAGGCAGGTTCACCTGGACAGGTCACCAGTCTATCACAGGGCTACACTTAGAGACAGACAACCAAGCACACTCACATTCACACCTACGGACAATTTAGAATCACCAATTAACCTCAACATGTTTCTGGACTGTGTGAGAGGAAGAACCCAGAGAGAACCCACGCTGCACGGGGAGAACATGGAGACTCCACGCAGAAAGATTCTGGTCCATTTGGAACCATCAATCACAATCTTCAGTTATTTAAAATCCTATTTTAACCCTGTTCAGGACTTATGGGGTCTTTTGGACCTCAGGCCATTTGGTTTAGGTGACAGGTATTTGAAGATTTATTTTTGTAAATACAAAAAGAGGGACATTTGTCATGCAATTAGAACCATCAATTTGGAAACATCAACTTATCAGAACATTTATTTACCAGAGTATAAAAGTATAAAACCAACAAATGCTTTGCACATATTCTTTCTTGGGGCCCAATGGATTCCAAAAGACCTTCTACATATGGCAACATGAAAGTCCTGCATAGGGTTAAATGTCACTAAAATGCATCGCACTTTGCATATGAACACTTATATGACTCACTAAACAGCCTAAAAGTTAACAGATACAACTTATAATAAACACATACCTGCAGCGAATGTGCAGGCACATATTAACCTTTTTTAAGTGTTTCGGCTCAAACTATGGATTTTATAAGACATGCCACTTAGAGTTTTCATGTTTTCTAACATCTGGGCAGTCGGGGAGGAAGACAAGGGATGACATTTGTTCTTGCTGCAGCCCCACCTAGTGGCAGGTACCTTCCTAAAATCTTAGCCAACTGGCGTTATACGCTTATAAAATATGAATAATAATTTTAGTTGACTACCGTTTTGGACAAGTGGAGGTAGTGACATTTAAACGTTTAATCCGTAAATCGACTATTCGTGCACTTCCCTTGTTAATGTAAAACTTCACTGTTTAAAAAGGTGCAGATCTCTTATGCTAAGCTAGTTAATAGCATCATTCATTTTCTCTGTCGATCTCTTTGTGCCACTGGAACACAGACTTCTCCACCACAGCTGCCAATTAAGAGGGACGGTCAGGTCTCAGTTTCGAAGTCTAATAGAATGTAACTACATTAAAGATGCGTAGCTCACTCAGCTGATGTGGCTCAACCATATAATTGTCATGTCTCTGTAGCTCGCTCGTATTTCTGTGTTAAACATAAAAGCTGTGGATGAGCGGGGAGCGGCGGGTCAACTTTGTCGACAGAAACCGATGACCTAATTAGCGGCCAATAAATCTGAATGTCAATTAGCCGGTGACATCACAGCTTTTAGCGCTGTGTCACTAACTGCAGCGTCACATTTCTGCACATTTATCTTCTGCCTGGTCTGCAGATGTTTGATAAACGGCTCGTAATGTCTGGTGGATGTTTTGTTGGGACTTAGCG